AAGGCTTCTGATTCACGAAGTCTACACAAACTGGTAATGCTCTTTTCAGGTACCAAATACTTGTACCATATTTGTGACAGTAATTGCCACTCCACACAGATTTTGACCCGACACCTATCCATACATCTACCAGTTTACTCACCCCTTTAGAGCCATTCAATATACATTCTATTTTAATTTAGCAATTGAACTGTGAACAAGTCCATTAATTCTTTTCATACATGAGACACATGTAATTCTCGCAATATTTCCTAAATTTATTTGTAGAGCCACTTCTTAATCAGCGTTCCCAATGTCTCTAGAAGTTGAATAACTTTCTTTTTCAAACATATCTACAAAACTTCCTAATATAAACTAAAGTAGTCAGGAAAACACTGCCAAGTCCCTCCAAGGTTATCCAATCAGATGCACTCACGACATCGCATATTCAATAATACTGATTTAAGCTTTGAGTGCAATGCATCAGTTGAATTTCATGGCCTTCCGAACCCTTTACACTGACAATGGGAACCAGTATGTGTATCACAAGGTTTGGAGGCACGATCATGTCCATTTATCTTGGCTGCACATCACTCCATGTTTAGTAACAAGGAATACGCGCCCTTTGGATTATACAATAATATTTTAATGGATTAGCACCGATGTGCGTTTAAGTTCATATTCCACTGATTGTGGGAAAAGACATCTATAAGTGTTTGAATGCTCAAGTGTACACGTGTGTTTATAGAGCTGTTAAGGCCAAGACTTCAACATCAGCAAAGTACGTATCTACCGCTTCCTTTGATAAATCCATATTATAGCAACTTTTAATGTAATACATCACATAAACCGTAGAACTCTTCCCAATTAATCTGTCATTTGCCTTTTTAATTCTTGACGGACCGAGAAAGGTGCAAGTGTTTCTCAAATGCTCATTTGCAAGCATTCCACAAGTCATACTGCGGACCAGCTTGGTGGATGCGTCACCACCACTACCACACAAATTGGGCTTATGGTCCGTCGTAGATACTCGTCAAATTTTCGTGGGCTTGGGCTTCAACCCTCCTTAATGTCGGAAACGTCCTTTGTTTATCAATGCACACAGCTGCATATATTCACACAGTCACCTCCATTGTTGGTCATTATACTAGCTTGATTAATGGACTAGGCCGGGCTGGACCAAACTACCTTATGACGCATTAGCGTCGAACATCAGTGCTTGCTATGGGGGAGATAGTACTGTTACGGTAGCGTCGATTCCGCGGGTGTGAACTTAAAGGTACCGATTTTTTAGCCTAAGTGGTTCAAGATACAGGTTTACTGTTGCAACGCATTTTCTACAAAAATCAGATATTCACTTAAGGCATCCTGAAAATAACATGGGTTAAAATACGAATTTCGTAGCTACCGCGTCTCAACTCTGTGAAAATGTTCATCAAAAATCCATCTTTCAAAAAAACTAACCTTAAGGAGAGATACTGCCTACTTTCCTCCTCTTTAATCTCCCAGCTTAATGGTTTTAAACCAACTCCTTATGCGTGATGAAGAATGTGAGTTTTCACGCAAGTCTCTTGCAATCTTTTACTCATTTTCTGGTGTGCATTAAGTCAGAGCAGATTTTGACCAATGCGCCGCACTGTTATAAAAATTAGACATATATTTTCGGCTGAGATATTTTCGCTCCTTAAAAGAGTTGGAAATCGTATTGTTAAATGTATATGGATACCCAAGGCTTTGATTTATCACTGCTTAAGTGAAGTTCACCGGTGAGCACGACGGCCCCAAAAGCATTCGCGTAAATCAGCCAAATTCTTTTGCATTTTTGGGTGCTGAAATAATTCACAATGACAAAAATCTGGCTTCACGGCTCAAATAATTCTACTTCAAAGTCAAGTTAGCCATTCTAGCATAAACCTGGCAATAAATATTTTAAAAGCGTAAGATGAAGCAAATGCCAAAGAAGGATCTTTCCTAGTTTGAGATGGATGATGCTAAATACCCAGCCAACTTTTACACCGAATAAAAGCATGGCTTTTGGAGAAAAAACGAATATGCTTAAGCTGATCTCTATTCGGAGTTTACTTCACTAGGGTAGCATGTAAAAGCCTTCTCTGTATCTAGACAACTATTTGTAGCAACGGTGAAACATGAAGTTAGTACTCAAAAGTTTCATAATCTTCGCCTTTCGACCTGCGTCCTTCATTCCGTGCAGTCAAAGATCTGTGTGCTACCGGAAGGAAAAGGCATTATGGGCTAATAGCATAGCTCCACTGAGAATCTTATACTAAGCCGTCTTATGGGCTCGCCACGACAGCTGGTCATGGTACACACAGTCGGCAATCGTCATTGTTTTAGGTAGACTTACGTTACAAATTTGATTCAATGCTAATTAGCCAGCTGCACAAAAGTTATTAGTGATATAAAGAGCTTAGTTTTTTGTCTTAATCTCGTACTCACGATATAATCAGAATCTAAAAAGCCAAAACTGCATCACTTGAATATACAAAACCTTCGTATCGCTAAATTGTTGCTCTGTAAAAAGAGGAATTAAGCAGTGTGCTTTTCATTCTGATAAATTTCGTAATGAGTTATAATTTACAGATGTTTGTAAGAACATCATGAAAAAATGCTAAGCTTGGGCCTGAATTTGGGACACATTCAAAGTCATTGGGGATGTGCTTTCCTCAGGCCATTGAAAAACACTGTTAAGGTCGATAGGAGGACCCCCGGGCCCTTTAGGTATCAGAAACATCTTGGCCGTTTATTGACGTTTTCCATTTTGAGGAGGTCAGTCTTAACGTGACAGAAGAAGATGGTGTCAGGTCGAAAAGGTAAAACTTTAGTGACACTTTCCAACCAACACCTTCCAACATTGGTGTCCTGCACCGATACGACCTACGTGCTTCATCAAGAGCTCCTATTCGACACGAAAACCCTAGCGTGTCCCCCTGTTCTGCTCACAATGGACTGTTAAAATCATTTAGTGAAATAATGTCTGGCTTACCGTGGCCGTGTTAACAAGAAAGTGAGGAAGGAATGCTTTATATTTTTTGGAGGCCATCATCTGGTTGATCTTGAAACAGTTGAGTATCCATTGCATACAGTGAAGTGGGAATCTTTTAAGTGTTCTTGATTTGTGTGAATAAATGGATGGAAACACTTGGCCGATGGTAGAGAAAAATTAAAATACCTCTCTCCTTATTGCCAAGCCATTCAGTTAACGTGATGTCAACTGACCCCATTTACGCAATCTGCATACTACACTAGTGTTCTTATTAAATTTAAAATCCATGACATTGAATAAATTTATAAGTGGTCAAGGTGAATTTACATTGAATAGCCGATAATGTAGATGGCCATGTTGAAGCCTATTGGATTTGAAACCGCTGCAATCAGGCGGTGTTACAATTGTACAATGAAGGTGAGGAGAGGTTCGTCAAACTGTCGGCTCTCTACTGATATGGTTTAAGTTTAAAAGCGCCGGAGGGACAGGCCTGGGGTCTACTACAGTGTGTTACCTATGACATTGTGGAGCAACTGTCAGGCAACTTTGTACTAAGTCAGTGGCTTCAACGAAGGCTGACTGCTTAAACCGCAAAATTCCCTAAATGCCAAAATATTCGTAGACTTGAAACATAAATGATTTTTCCTTCTGATTGTAAAACACCCCCGATTGTTGAAATAAGGTTGAGTAGGCTCTTAACTTATAGCAGTCTTTCAAGAAATCATGCGAAAGCGACTAGCAGCAATTCAGCCTAAAAAGCAGTAAATTTTTTCGATCCTGAAGACTTGAGGTGACCATAAATTACTTTTGCTAATCAAATAAAAATACTGTCGAAAATGCGGATCCACTGAAAAGGATGAAGTAGTGGTATGTAGTCTAAACGACTTGGATAGTATCTTGAATTTTGAGTGCATTCCCGTTTATTTAAAGGAGTTACTCGATCCCATGAGTAAGTGAATTAACTATCCTGTGAGAAGTTTGTTGGGATTGTATCATCAGCATTGACATTGCATTTGTAGGCCTCAGATCTTTGATAAGGGAGTTTAGAGGCTGTTGTGTCTAACCACAACCAGCTAGCCAGGAAGCAAATATCCGCATAATCTTAATCGGATGACCCCGCAGCTCAAAGCGCTAAAGTAAAAGATTCCATTTTCGTGCAAACTTAACAAACTAAATCTTTTTTACACCTATATTTGTTCAGATTTGAACAATGTTGGTACCAATCAGTTTCATCTGCTTTCGTTGGTTTGATTTTAACGACCTTGCATATTCCCATGCCACGATAATTGCTGACTCCCTTACTTTCTTCTCACCTCCTTTAAGTCAACCAACTGTTTCGATAAACTCACGACTTCGTTAAACCGAGGCAATGTTAAACCCATACCCATTAGGCGTTATTAAGCCTTGTTCTGCATTTTAATATGTACTTCACCCTCTCAAGGTCGACTGACTCCCTAGTAGAAGTGCTGTCATTGTAGTCTATTCGGGGGTTGGTTGCACCAAATGCAATGTGTTCGTGATGCAGTACTAAGCATGAAGTGGAAGTCAGTAAACTGTGGTTAGGAGTTGATGGCGTATGTATGGAGGAGGTAGACGTACATCACGTCTAGTGATGGGAAGGAGGATAAGGAAACCGCGAATCGCATACGGCTGGTATTGGGGAATGAACATCAACTTCTCCTCGCGTCGTAGAGGAAAAAAGCAATATATGAATAGGTGTGATGGCAGGTAAGTGAAAACGGAAGCGAATCGGATATGTGTGATATCCGGGAGCGTAAGTTACATGACGGGAGGGAGAATGAAGTGTTGTGCCTATAAAGTGCCTTGTAGTTGCTGCCGATCGGATGGCTTCAGTGGTGTCATCGTACCTGCCAGACAGTCTCATTGACTCTAAGTCAAATCAAGTCCACTTCTGGTGCATGGGATGCACACTGGCGGTAGTACTCTCTAACTTGATGACATGAATGGTAAGAGTCAAAAGTGAAATGCAGATGATGAGGCGTGAGTTGTAAGGGAATTAGTGGGAGATGAAAAGTGAAAGGGGGAATTGGCAGGGGGCAGGAGGATTAATGAGGAGGCTGGAAGTAGGAGGAGCCAGAAGGAGATTAAAATGTTGATGAGAAGGCGGGAGTGGAAGAAGAAGAAAGCCCATTGAATTTGTGATGATCTGAGAGGAAGGTAATCTTGAAAGTGCTAATATGATAGTGGATTAGTGTGATTGGGGTAAGAAGAGTCAAGATTTTGGATAAATTTAAGGATTTTGGCCATGGCAAGTGCTTTGAAGTTTGCAGTATAATGTTGTGGAATAAAAGGTCTCTATTTTCAAAGATTGAGTTGTTTGAAGTTTTCAGTGTAATGTTCACCACTTTTGTCCCGGAGTGGATTCAATGGACTCAATTAGTTCACCGCGCATCCCCATCTAAAATTACAAAAACGGAAAGTTACCATGCAAGAGATAGAACACAACTTAAGAGATCGAAAAGCTTTGAAATAGACATTTGTTGACTAGGGTGTTTCTCCTCTGCTAAATGGAGCATTTATGCAACAGAGGAAGATACGAAAGTGCGAAGGAAGGAATTAATATGCAAATGTACATTGTACTTGCACGCACTAGATTGGGTGGTCTGCATAAGAGGCTTTGACACTGTGTCCGTGGAAGTGTTCACAGTCCTCCATTGTCCTATCGACTGACTCCCCGATTACTCGTTCCATGTACTGAAAGTGCGGAATAGCAGTGAAGAGCGAATCTGCTTCTTAACTGACTGACCGACTACTTGACTAACTGGCATTGCACCTCTGTCTAGCAAACGCATGACATGAAGTAGGGGTCCAACAGACAAAAAAAACGATTTCTCAGTTAAATGAATGAAAAGGGATTGGTAGTTCATATTTGTGAGATGCATGACGAGCGGGGTTTGAACCTTCATCAAGTCTTCCATATCAGCAGTCACTAAAGTGATTTCTGGTGGAGGAAATTGACTTGCGACCTTGTGAGTTTAAACGATTGCAGTAAAAGCTGCTGTTCTTCCGCCGTTTTAGTGGTTAAGTTCAAAGACCCAGTCATCACGTATATCAAATCTCAAGAAGATCTTCAGTTTTCTTTAGAGTCCTTTTGGGCATGTTGGATTTGGCGGTTGACCAACGGTTTGACTATTTAGAAAACGAATTAATGCAGAAGTGTACAATATGAGGCAAAGAAGACTTAGCAAATTAATCAAAGCCATCTACGAACTGTAAAATAAACTTTTCCTTTCAGACTAGGCAAAATAACGCTAACGAAACGTTTACAGTACTATGTATTTATGCTTTCCACATTCACTTTGTTAATTCCTTGTGAAGATTTAAAAATGATTTAACATCACCGGTATCGCATATTAGGCGCACCCAAAGTCTTTGCGTCAAAGTGGCAATTTTTCTACATCATCATGTGAGACGGTTTGCATTGTTTATCATCTCCAACAAATGAGAAATGCGCAACTCATCGGAATACAATAAGGAGACGCTTATCATGCATCCTCTTCAACCGCTACTCCCATGACTTTCCCGCTGAATTTGCATGCGGCCTGCGTCTCTCACTGTAATAACGGTCCAATCTTTCACGTACTACCACTTTGTTGTAGTACTGGGTGTGGATATGACCTGCAATCTACGGTAAACTCTACATGGCTTTACCATAAATGTCTGATTTGTGCCCAAATAATGTATCTTTGAGCTTTTAAATATCACGTTATGATACTTTTGGGGACAAATTGGACTGAACAAATAAACTAAGATATCAGCTTCCTTTTGCTAAAAATACAGCAGACTGGCTTTATTTCAACCTAAGTTTGTGGCATAAATCAACTTAAAAAGGTAGTAATTGTGGTGTATTTTAGGGGAAACTTTGACTCTAATAAGTTGGTTGTGGGGCAAGTACCACAATAAAGCATTTGTCGCTTTGGGCCAATCAGAATGATCTATGTGAGACTCTCAGTGAGATATTGCTATTGACCCACAGCGCTTTCTCATTTCGGCAGCATCTGAGTCTTTATTTGCAAAAAATGAAGGACGTAGATAGGCGAATGAAGAAAGATGAGCATTTGAGCTCTCGCTACTTGTTTCGCCGTTGCCACAAATGCCAGAAAAATATTTGCATACCTGCGTAATAAAGTTGTCCCTTTCTTCATAACTTCATGGATTTCCAAACCTTTTCATACTATACCCAACACGCGATCAACTTGAACCTGTTTAATTTCTCGAGTATGGGCCGTGGTTTTCAATGGATTTCACGGTCTTTTAGGTAGTGCATTACATTTTTTAAAACCGTGAAAGATCCTTTTATTAAACATTTATTTCGTTTTAGCCATTTTGAATGGTTGTTTTTTTAGTTTGTACTAGGTCGACAGACGATCTTGAAATGGGATTTTTGGGGATTAAGCCAAGCATTAAGCTGATTTGAATTACTTCATCATCCTTTCAATAGTTAAATGTGGCAACAAGTGAAGTTCACTAACTAGTCTTTATCGACAATCTCTTCTTTTGTTTACACCACTTTTAGGTGCAGCAGTAAGTGCAAAATCCTTACCAAAGTGCGTATGGTTTATGGAGCCTTAATTTCGTCTTGTACATGTGAAATGCACAGCTCGCGATAACAGATTTTGACAAGCATAATGCAACCATTTAATGCTAGAAGCTGATTTAAATGATTTGATCCTAACATTCGGCTGATGAAGAATTGAAGTGAATCAGCCTGGTTATGTCATCTCGTTAAATTTCCTTCAGTAGATGAGTCCACTCACATATGCACTTAAGCATTCGTAAACGTGGGTGTTGATTAATAGGACGTTGAACTAAGGTAAAGGTAAAGGTGTTTTCACGAACTAGCTTACATCAGGTTAGTTGAATGCAGTTAGTAGGTAGTGTGAGAATGCGTACTAATTCCATTGGGACACCAATAAAGCGTCCCATCTACTCAAGATATGTTAAAACTTAAATTGGATCAAAAAAGTTCTTCAATGCTGTGCACTTTACATCATGGAATGATTAGGGCATGCGAATTACCTGATTATCTTTAAGAAGACCAAAGCTTCATATTGTATTTAGCCTCAAATAGGGATAAGCTTCCTTCCAATTTTAAAACCGAAGTACTTACGGAAGCAAATACCTTGATTTGATCGTCATAAACGTGCAATAAGGTGTCCACACACGTATTAGAATACGGTAAATCGTAAATTAAACTCACTTAAGTCTTTATTTGATCTGCTTTAAATGGGATCTGTCTACAAAAGTCCCAGTGAAAAGTTAAACTAGGCGTAGGACTCACTCAAGTAGGACTATACTTTTGTGGAGGCAATAATCTAAGGGAGACACAGTAGGGCATACTTTGAAGTAGGCGTAATACATGGAAGTAATTATGTTCATATAATTGTCAGATTTGTTATTAGAATGCAAGGGAATAAAAGGTTGAATCTGTAATTCTACCTATTCCAAGCCTATTTTGACAATGATTAGCATCCTTCGATATAAACGTAGATGATTCCAAGTGTCGGTTTAAGTGAAAAAAAGAAAACATAAGCGACACTGTATTGTGAAAGCGAATAGAGGTACGAGCGTTTAAGCTGTTCAGCGCATATTAATTGTGCGCTTATGAATCAGGCATTTGAATTAAGGTAGGAGTTGGAGGGTTTTTTTATTATGACATACCAATGCAAAATTGCATCATTTATGGTCAAGACAATTTTCAAATTTGTCAAAGCAAGTCGCAGAACATGGAATATGCATTTGTCCTCCGATTGCACCCATAAATAGTTCAGGACAAAAATGATGGGTGGTCTCGGCATTCGGTTTGCCAGCTTCTGATGAAGACGATCAAGCGATTGACATTCATTTGCAGTTATACATTCAAAATTAAATCATTTGATGTTAGCTAGTTCCACCACAAGCATCTTGCATTAGGCACACCCAACTCATGTGCTCTAAGGCAAAAGTCTTTCCATTTCATCAAATGAAACAGTTCTTGTTAGTAACCTCAAGGGATAAAACGCACTAGAATACAGAATGCTATTCTAATAGATAAATCCCATCACGAATTTTAAACACTAAGTTAAACACATTTTTTTAGTATACGGCTTGAAAAGTAAAATAATGAGATAAATCTGTGAAATGGACTTGCTTCTTTCTTTTGCATATTTCTCATCCTAATGTGCGTTGCGATGTTATATCGTTCGGGAGTAATAATTGTTGCAGGAGCCACTTGGAACATTTATTCCTCGTTCGGCAGGCAGAATGCGCGTCTAGAGCCACTACAGATGTAGCCTCTCATTTGTGAGTTTACATGGTAGACACTAGGAAAATGTTTGTTTCAATGAATTTCAAACGGATTTGCATTTTGGGCTGCTTTTATTTAAAGGACAACTATTGGTGCTTCATCATTATTTTTTTAAATTCTAATAGCAATTGTTGTATGCAAAAGTGGGGAGCTTTATAATATTTGTCCATAATTCTCATAAATTTAATAAATAAATACGGAAAAGGACATCGGCGAAGCTTATGAAAGTGGATATGGGATTGTGTTACCTTATTTGGTGAAATTAAAGAGGATATTTTATCATAACATAAACTATTCTATAAAAAATTCGATTATACTAGATGCTCACCGATGCCGTCGAAAAATGACATTAAGCCAAGTGAGATTGCTATTTTTGGAAAATGGGACGACGCTATTAGAGGTTACTTAGTAGAATGCCTGTCTTAGGGAGCTGTTATGTATAGTGAAATCGCCTATTTTTACCTTACTTGTGACCTGTTGATTAAGGCTCAGAAAAATTTAAAATATACTTATTCAGCAACGCAATAATTGAGTGGTCGACGACTCTGCCATCAAACAAGGCATTTGATTGTCGCACAACCAAGTTGAGATTTACCACAGAGGCTGCCGCGTTAATGCAAATTTCTGATCAATTGAATAGTCAAGCCAAATATCTAAATTTTTATTGCAAGCAGTGGAGTTGGTGATGCATCCTTCACAGTTAGATACAGCTGCCGTGCCCATAGGCCATTTCCCTTCTTTTTCAAGTCCTCACATCCAAAGCAATTTCGTAAATTTCACTTTATCACTTTTTTTACAATTCTCCTTAAAGTTGATGCTTTAAATAGAGGTTAACCTAGTGGTATGAAGAAATTTTGCCAATGAAACCGCTAGTAAATTATTTGGTGCTGTCCTTGAAGCACGGAATTTTTGGTTAGGCGAATCCATGCCAAAGCGGGGTATTTTGTTTCTAATGTCAATTGTAGCAATTTTAAGTGCCAAGCATTCTCAGCGGTTCTTAAAGCATAGCAGAGATATTTAAATAGCTTGTGTTGAGTGAAGTTTACTTAATGCGCATCAAAAATATTGAGAATAGACCTGTTTTTTGTTTAATTTGTTTGTTTAGTATTTCCTTGGCTTTGCAAATCTACTTCAAATTCGTAAATGGGGTGAATTCAGAGGGTTTCATATTGTTTTTACCATTCTGTTTTTATGCAACGCTCAAATGCAAGGTTAATCTATAACTGATGAGCAAAGGAAGATTGGATGTCTGTCTACTATTAGTGACTATTGAAACACTAAACATCAGACACTTTACGATTTCGGCTTAGAGTTCTCATGACTGGGATAAATAGATTTGTTCGTAGTGGATTAATGGAGAACTGCTTTAAATTTCAGTGTCAGCGGCTACTATGCGCCATTATGGCTGGTGTGAGCTCAGCCTTGCGATAGTTCTGTTATCATGTTGGCGGTCATCGCTTCTTCCATAACACAAATAACTTTTAACCACAAAACCAGCTAATTGTCATTCGTGTTGCAATATATTTAGCGTTTACTAAACTCTGTGAGATTTTCTTTAAGTAATTTTGCAGATCACTAGTATTATGTTTAAAACAAAGCGCACTTGATGCGACCTTGTTCACTGTAGTTAAAAAGACCTAGACTTATGATGACAATAATGGCATAGTATTATGTCAAAATCATAATAAGTCATGTTTAATAGATAATTTGGATGAAGGTGGGCAAAATGAAGTAATAACTTGAACATTTAATGTGTTTTTTTCACTAGTTCCCTCTGTGAGGAAACAATCTCTAAAAATCGTACCAAACAGCAAAATTGGTACAATTGTCTACAAGATGAAACGCTTCGTTGAAGAAATTAAGAGGACCTCTTAAATTACTTCTGATTATTTTGCGTCCCCACTTTGAGCATAACAATAATCACTTCTGATTTACGATGGCCAATTTTGCTGCTTTTTGGATGCTATGTACTTAAGATGCTTATACTAATATTTAAAGTCAAAAGTGTCATTTCATTCCTAGTAATATACATATGACCCCCTCCATTTTTCAAAAGCCTTACATTTCAGAATTTCTTACTTTCTAAGGATGATAAAATGAGGTAAACGTGTTCAACCGTAAACTCAGATATTACTTCTTAAAACTTGCTTTCAATGCCAAAACTATCCCCTATATTAGCATGCTTAGGTGATAAACATTTAATCTCTTCAGGCTTATGCGTGAATCGTCCGGAGTTACGATGTCTTGAGTTTCAAAATTCATGCTTTTCTGCTATTAGGATTGCTTATTTAGGTCAATTTCATTAATGGTATTTCAAACTTAACCTCATAGAAATTCAAATAAACACTTGGAATCCTTCCATTAATGCAGTTGGTTGGTGACAGATGCTTTTCACATGCTTCAATGCTGTCACTTGAGGACTTTTCAGGTAAGTTACGCATCTTTCGGTGGGTAATGTGATGCATCACTAATAAACAGATGGGGCAAAACATTTAACAATTACAGTTAAAAGCATATTGTAAAAAAATTAACAGGCATTTGAAAAAAGTGCCTGTTTATCAAAGATCCCCTTGCTTCTAGGGATTTTTATGAGTATTAGTGCCAAAGAGTTAACAATGAGATAAGGACTATTATTTTGACAATTGATGCTTCTATTTCCTCATGGTTTACAAGAACGAGGGGGAGAAAGTCAGTGGTGAAGTGTGGGCAGCGGGTTTGGACTGCTTCACCACCATCGATTCACTGCTTCATCAGAGACGCACAAGATTTCGTCATTAGTCTCCAATAGTTGATAAAAGGGACGGTGATATGGACATAGCGTTTACATTGGTGGTTCACAAAGATCCAGTACAGATAGCTCGACTGATGCGAATGATTCATCGCACGAACAATTACTACTGCATTCACGCTGATTTGCGGTCAGGCCAGTCATTTGTGAATACTTTGAAGGGCATCTCAGCACACTTCTGTTCAAACATTGAGCTCGCTTTATTGAAGAAGTGAGGTAAGGTAAATTGGGATGACGAAAGTGGTCTAACACCACAGATGATCTGTGGAAAACAAGCTCTTCAAGGGCACTCCTCGTAAAAGTAACTTATTAACTTATTGGGACAGGATTTCCTTCACCGAACCAATCTAAAACTGGTTGCAGCCCTTAATACTCTCCATAGTTATAATTTCATTGAATTGGTTTTTAATAACGACTGCAAGCACAAGGTAGGGGATCCGAAGCTATCACTTGGAGTAAGTTTATTTCGCACTTTGTTTCGGCTTTACACTTGCAAGGAATTCCATTCAATCGCAAATGCCATTTCAAGCCGCGTATTACAAGAGCTCTTATTACGGCGCGTATCTTCGTGAATTTTTAGAAGAAATATTTAAGGAAGAAGTGAAACTGATGCGCAAATTTATTCTTTGGCACAGGACTTTTAGCCATCCCTATGAATTAGTTTTCCGTACCCTTGCCTCTACAAGACAGCACTTGATCCCTGGACTGAGTACTCCTGTCCAGTAAGCTAAATTGTACATCTCTCTACAGTATACCAAGTATATGGTAGCAAATGGCTTTCTTCCTTTTTGTGGCAATTTAGATGCCAGTTACACATGTGTAATGTCCACACATACGTTAAAATTATTCTGCTGGCTGGAACCGGTCCGTGTGTGACTGAAGCGCTACCAATCCATACAACTAACCTAGTGTTTTAGAAGACCCATGATGAAGGAAAAGACGGCACGAGGCGCATTGCCACCGACAAAGCCTACTTGCACATACCAGCACCGTTGTTCACTACCGGAGCAGTGATATTTTTTGACCGCCAGCAAAGGACTCGGGAGATTAAAAGTTAAATACCGCCACCAGTGCTTCGATGTTAAACGTGATCACAAGTACGCAGTCTAATCGCTGTCGTCGATTTCCTTTATTAATATATGTTTTCTGGTAAGGAGCACGCATACAAAATTGCAAATATGCTATCAAACATATTTTTAATCCCTTTTTAACGTTATTTATAGACTTTAGTCGACACAAGAAATATCGAAAAATCGTGACCAAAGTATGCATGTGGTCCTATGAGATTTATTTCTACTCTTCGCCCAGAAGTAACGGGCAGTTAGGGTGGCTACAAGCAATTTCCTTAACATTAATAGAATCCTCTTACAGTTTTATGCAAGGAAGTTAGTCAAACTGACAAAGTACTTGGCTTTATCACTAAAGGAGTTTCTATTTTAAAGCCTAGTATATCATTTAGGTAGAAACTTGGAAATAACTATTCTAACGGCTAAGAGGAAATAAATGCTCAAAGGTGAATTTGCCCTAGTCTAAAAGGTGGCGCATGCAATTTAACTGACGTTGGAAATCGGTTGAAAAAAATAACTTGCTGTGGAGAAACAACTATATCCAAACTAATTTGAAACGAAAATTAGCATAAAACTTTGTAAACCTATATGGTTCAAAGGCATTTGTCTAAGTTACTAGTCTAGTTTATCGACTACATTTGCTGGCATTGTCAAATTATAAGTTTCGATTTGGTAGGAATGGTGAAAGCCCTTTTGGTATCTTGACAACATAAAGCGAGTATCAAAATTTTCGAGCATTTTTTCCTTTAATGTGTTCCTTTATTCCTTGCAGACAAATATCACTGCATATGAAACGCTAATGCACAATGACCTGCTAGCATGCCCTAACTGAGAGTCTTATCTATAGCCATCTATTTGGCTCAAGGCGACATGTGACTCAATGGCGCCTCGATACACATGTTTTACAATTACTATCGTTTCAAATAGATATACATTATAAATTTGAAACAATATAACATTAGCCAGCTGCATTTTTGTCAACAAATGATGGTAATGGTCCTGTTTGTGTTCATTATCTTATTTGGTTTTAATAAAACAAAAGTAAGAACCATTTTTTCATCTGGTAGGAACAATACGTTTTAGTACGTTTAACGTTGCACGGAAAATTAAGTGTTTGATGAAGTTATTGAACTTAATGCTCCGCCTTCCTGCCCTCCTATTTTGATGATATGAATTTCATATAACTTGATGGGATAGCGAAAACTCAACCCTTAACAATTTTAACAAAGCTAGGATGGCCTTTGTAAGACTTCAAAAAGTAGCTGATGTTTTCCTACATCATAAGTTTTGTATGAAAACAATAAATTCTCAATTTCACCGTTCAGCTTTGTTCGCCTTTGGCTTCAAATGAGTTGCAAAAATCATTTTGAGGTGCGTGGGAAGTTCTAGTTCTATTTTGCAATTTTAAATAATGAAAAATAGATAGAAGTCGTAGGCGTTTCATGGACACCGAATTAAATACAACCATTATGAAAATCCCAATGTGCTAAGCATAAATCTTTGGTATATGTGCTAGGTTAACTCGTAATGTCTAATTGCGAAAAATACAAACTAAATGAAAAATAAAAGCTGAAAATGAAGTAGCTTAGGTGGTGTGTAAATATTCTAGTATGAACGTTGTTTCCATCGCTACTAATATACTTCCTGTGAAAAATTTCAGCGCAGTAAAATTATTGCAGCAGTCCATAACCAGTCTGATCAAACCTTGCACATTGTCATGGCAATAATTGGGTGCAACAGTAGGGGTCAGATAGTTCAGTCGGTAGTGCCATCGTTTACGGAACAAAACTGTTGTATTCCACAGTGTAAAATGCCCTGCAAAATGGAAATACAACTTCCTTTGCACCTCAAACTTATTCTTGTCGTTCATTTAGAAGACCATCTAAATGAGGTTTTTCAAACCTACTATTTACCATGAATATATTCAGGCTGTCATACGTACAGTTTGCTTTAATTTTTGTCTGTTTGACTAGGCCTTTTAGGTGAGAAATAGTCAGCTGACGTCAAGCTTGCGACTTCAAATCCTGAGGGGGAAGCAAACTTCAGACCTCTTTACGCCTCGACGACCTGAAAATACCCAATGCACTGTTCATTTAAAGATGCCACCACCTATGTACTCAACTTGTTTTAAGAGTACGAAACCGCTGAAAATTTCGGTGCCTAAAGAGGAAATTTAGAAATAAACCTCTTTTGGTAAATTGCTTTAGTGAAATGCATTCTTGCTCCAAATCGCTTCAGAGTATCATCGTTAAGTGATGGCCAATGAAAGATTTCATATTGTATTCACTTCAAAATCCTCGAAGATGCATAGAACTCCTGTGCATTGAAAAAGCATTTCTGTTAACTGCCACATATTCAAAGAAAATAACCCAAGAAGCATGAAAATTGGCAGCCGGGAAAAATATTTCTCAAAAATGAGTATGGATGAAGTTACAGATATCACCATAACTGACTCAACAATCAATAAAACAAGAATTTTATATCGAAAGTTGGGGGCAAATACTGCAGATAATGCACATTTTACAAGTCTTATAACATATTCTTAATGGTAGCTGGCCCATTCACTTTCACCTCCTGTTTGGTTGATTTCGTATGCCAAACAAGGATCTAAAAAGATCATTCGCATACTTAAGTATTAATTTACTGGTCAAGAGGCAAGAAAGGGCATCAAGTTTAGTGAAAATAGGCTCACCTTCCTGCAGCCATCAGCTCTGGGCTCCAATTCATAGGCGCTTTTGAAACCAAGGCCGGTAAGTATTAGACCTTCTTGACCTCCTACAGCTTTTTCGTCAAACAGGGCGTTCGAGTGTTGCAAAACCAAATTGAGATTGACTGCAAAGGCTGCAATATCAATAGGGAAATTCCGATCGGGTGCATAATTAGACCAAAAATCAGAAATCTTGTTGCTATCATTAGGGTTAGTGATGCATCCTTCCCAGTCAGAATCAGCTATCATGCCTACGGGCCACGTTGCTCCTTTTTCCAATGTTCGCATCTAAATCAGTTTCATAAATTCTATTTAATCTCTTTCTACATAAGTTCTGTTAAAATTGATGCTTTTGAATAAAGCTCGTTCTAATGGTTTGAGTAAATTTCGCAAATGCAATCGCTGATGAAGTATTTGGTAATGCCTTCAAGGCATGTAATTTCCGGTTACGTAGATCCATGCCAAGATAAGGATATTTTTTTCTAACTCTAAGTGCACAAACGCT